ATTTTTGGCATAAAAGAGAAATGTATAATTTTGACCCATACAATGTATTGTTGGCTATTGCTACAAATATACCCCAGCGACTTAACACTGCTTTTGTGCTCCAGAGTCACATATTTTAATAGAACCTAGACGTTTCTGTCCTGCTACTGAAACTCCAGGTAATCACAACTTAGAAGATCCAAAAGGGTCATAAATGCATCTTAAAATGAATCCATATAAATCAAGCGGTTTAATCCAAGTCACTCAGCGCACAGCTTCACTGTAGATCAGGTGTTTTTTCCGTTGTGATGTTCTGTCCTTGTTTGCGCAGACGCAGCCTGATGACGTTCCTCGAGCGCTGGGGATCCTGAAGGACGGCGGCCGACAGAACGGCTGCATCTCCAGCACTCCAGCGTCGCCCACGTCTAACGGTGACCCCGTGACCCCTGACCCCTGTGACCCCGAGGAGCTCAAGCCCAAAGAGCGTGCGCAGACGCTGTCTGAACTCAAGAAGCAGCGCGCCGCCGCCAAACTCCTCAGCCAGCCCGTCCTCAACGGCCACCTGGGAAACGGCTCGACCAAACCCAGTCCGGAAGATCCGCGCATGCCGCTGGTCTCGTCCAATGGCAGCGCGGTCTACTTCACGCCGGCCAGCGGAGACCCGCCCCTGCTGAGGTTCAAGCAGCCAATAGAAGACGAGCTCCAGAGTCACATATTTTAATAGAACCTAGACGTTTCTGTCCTGCTACTGAAACTCCAGGTAATCACAACTTAGAAGATCCAAAAGGGTCATAAATGCATCTTAAAATGAATCCATATAAATCAAGCGGTTTAATCCAAGTCACTCAGCGCACAGCTTCACTGTAGATCAGGTGTTTTTTCCGTTGTGATGTTCTGTCCTTGTTTGCGCAGACGCAGCCTGATGACGTTCCTCGAGCGCTGGGGATCCTGAAGGACGGCGGCCGACAGAACGGCTGCATCTCCAGCACTCCAGCGTCGCCCACGTCTAACGGTGACCCCGTGACCCCTGACCCCTGTGACCCCGAGGAGCTCAAGCCCAAAGAGCGTGCGCAGACGCTGTCTGAACTCAAGAAGCAGCGCGCCGCCGCCAAACTCCTCAGCCAGCCCGTCCTCAACGGCCACCTGGGAAACGGCTCGAATAAGAGTCTTATCTAGCCAAACCATCAGTCATTTTCTGAAAAACAATTATATTTATACACTTTTTAACCACAAATGCTTGGCTAGCATTAGCTCTGCGACGCGTGTTTTTATTAGCTGATGTTGGAAAGGTCAGGCGTGAAGCAGGTGGAAGCACCGACCCAGTGTTTACAAAGCAAACATGCATAAAAAGAAGTCAAATGCCCGTTACAACAAAGATAAAACAACGATGTCGGATGATTTTAAAGTTGGAGGAGTTTTTAAACGAAGTACAAAGATGAAGAACTAGCCGCGTGTGACCTTTCCAACATCAGCTAATAAAGACACGCATCGCAGAGCTAACGCTAGCCGAGCATTATGTGGTTAAAAAGTGTTCCTCGGCTGGGGTCGTGTAGAGCTCTTTGATTGAAACTGCATTTTAGACGTTCAACTCACTGGCCACCACTGAAGTCCACTATATGGAGAAAAACTTAATTTATAAACGTAATTTCTTTGCGACTGAAGAAAGACAGACTTGAACATCTTGGATGACACGGGGGTGAGTAAATGATCAGGACATTTTTATTCTGGAAGTGGACTAATCCTTTAAAGCGCTTTCGCACCGGAGGAACCTTTCCATAGTTCCTAGAACTTCCCCAAAAAGCGGGATCTTCCGCCAATAGTTCTCGGAACTATGGAAAGCTTCCTATTGAGCCAATCGCAGGATCCCGAGCGTCTGATTGGCTGAAGCCCATCGGTGCTTTTATTTCTCATTCCAGACCTGGAAGTCTGAAGAGATGTTTGGGATGAGCCCTCTCTGAACCGGGAACGTCTCAAAGCGGAAGGAATGATCTCCTTCAGGCTTCCCAGGTTAAGTGTGTGACTTATGCTTCTCTATTTCACTTCTAGCAGCAGATCGAACAACAGACGATTCCTTCCAGCTGTGTAATGTACAGTATTTATTTGTATATGTGCATAGAGCCACTCTTCTATAAGATTATTTATTGTATTCCAGAGAGATGAAGTGACGGACGGAGCACAAACGAGTCAGTATTTTTCTATGACAGTGTTATAATGACCAGATTAAGTATTTGAACTCACATTTCACACTCAAATCACAAGAACATAATAGCCTGTGATATTTTTTGCATCGTGGCATTATTTTCATGACAGTTCAACAAGCAAAAAAAAGCTGCAGGAAAAATAACGGTAATTTCATTTAAATCAGCAGCGCAGTAAATACTAACATGATGCATAAATGCTAAATAATTTAAATAACATAAATTAATTTTTTTCGTTATAGTCATGTTACAGACATTTTTTTGTGAGATTTTGTGAAACGCTTACTGTTATGAAAATGTCACAGTGCAAAAAAAATCAAAATAATTTGTGTCCCTGCAGCACAGAAGCAGTGTTAAGTCGCTGGGGTATATTTGTAGCAATAACCAACAATACATTGTATGGGTCACAATTATACATTTTTCTTTTAAGCCAAAAATCATTAGGATATTAAGTAAAGATCATGTTCCATGAAGATATTTAGTAAATTTCCTACCGTAAATATATCAAAACTTAATTTTTGATTAGTAATATGCATTGCTAAGAACTTCATTTGAACAACTTTAAAGATGATTTTCTCAATATTTAGATTTTTTTGCACCCTCAGATTCCAGATTTTCAAATAGTTGTATCTCAGCCAAATATTGTCCTATCCTAACAAACCATACATCAATGGAAAACTTATTTATTCAGCTTTCAGACGATGCATAACTCTCAATTTCGAAAAAATTTACCCTTTTGACTGGTTTTGTGGTCCAGGGTCACAAATACTCTTTTTTTTTTTTTTTAAAGTATCTTGATCATTGTAAACAGACTGTTCTTTGGGATAGATATTCTGTGATGACACTCTTCCAGAAGCGAGGATCAGACAAGTCAGTGGATGGCAGTGAAGTGAAGGATCGGTGCAGGAGGGGATCGAGTAGGGTGGTGTTAGTCCATGTGTAAATCGGTGTGAAACCAAATGCTCACACACCGGCACCAATCAGTCACCCGTCAGGCCCGAGACCACTGCTCTCACGGCCATCTGCTGTCCTTAGTGTTTACTGTACAGCACGCTCTCAGACGTATGCTGTTATGCCTACTATAGGGGACTGTATGATTGTCATTAAAAAGGTAGATAATACTATCTGATATATTATCTGCTCAGGCAATACAATGAGTCATTGTTCAGGAGAATTGTTTAAACGTTCGAGAGGATCTTGCAGTAATATATTTCAGCCACTTGGTGGCATTACAGCAATACAGTTGTTGCATGAGATTTGGTGAAAATACTGCTTTAATGCCTCTTAAGTCTATAATCATGGCAGTCCCTCCTCATCTCCTTTCCTATTCATTTCTAATATCAATTTCACAATATGTCCTAAAGCCTGAAATGACTGCAATGTAATACAGGGAAACATAGCTGGAAGATGATGATGCCTTGGCATATTTGATGTCTTAGCATAAACTACAATTTCACAGCATAAAATTGCATTTTAGGATCATGGTTTTGAATTGCAGACTAGGATTTTAATTAGGTAGTCAGTTTTTCAACCACAAGCTGTCAAAAATAATAATAAAAAAATAAACAAACTACTTCTACATAACAGTGTTATTTTATGATAATTGTATTTTATTAATATCTAGATTTATATTAGGTTGTAATAATTGATTAGATTTTAAGATTTGTATGATTAGATTTAGATGTACATTAGATTTTATATTATTTAATTATAGTTTATTAATATTGTGATTTGTTTGTATATTTGCCATTTTACTTTCATTTAATGTTAAAGTCTTTTTTAGTCTTTTTTCAGTTAACGTTTATGCTATTTCAAGTAACTTTTCTAAATTTGTTTTTATTCCAGATTTTCAAATAGTTGTATCTCAGCCAAATATTGTCCTATCCTAACAAACCATACATCAATGGAAAGATTATTTATTCAGCTTTCAGATGCATAAATATCAATTTTAAAAAACTGACCCTTATGACTGGTTTTGTGCTCCAGGGTCACATTTTTTAGTTCTTTTGATGTGAAATATGACCCAGATGTGTTTATATGAAGGAAGTGTTGATCAGAACCCTTCATATACTGCTCCCTATGAAGGGTTAATTTATTTCGTTGGATCCGCTCGATTGTGACGCTCTGCTCTCGGGTGCCAAAGTCTTCCAGAGTGATGGACGTCAGAAACGGCCAATGAGGTTCCAGTGCCACTCCCGTAGCCCCGCCCACTCCTCAACACTCGCTGCATTCATGCGGCAGCGCCGGGAAAGAATGTAAATAATGCTTGGAATGCGTTTCCTTCAGATGATGAAAGGAGTGATTACAGACATGCACGGTATTCTGAAACTGAAATATGAATAGAGTTCACATGTGAGGAGTTCGGCTTCCATTTCTACTGAGGAACGTGAAGGGAAAAGAGCATCACAACTACTGATTTTATAATTTACTGGAATATACTGATCACTGTATTAACATATTTTCAATAAATTGTATATTTTGATCAGTTTCTAACCTTTTCTGTCATCAGTGCTAAATGAAGTCTGTGATCAATCCATCGCTGCACGGATCTCTGGGATCGTTTGTGAAAAGCGCAGACTGATGTTAAAGGAAGTGATTATTGAGTCATCAGCGTGTTTCGAGTCTGCTGGCAAACGATCAGCTACAGTGAGTCAGCAGTGAACGACCGATGAGGAAGAAAACACAGAAACATGTGCTCACTGTCAATACTGATTCAGTCTGTTTCCATCAGCTGAAGTCTTGTTCCTGCTCGGTCAGCCTGATTTCAAACTTTACATTTACATCTATATCTACATTTATTCATTTAGCAGATGTTTTTATCTGAAGTCACTTACAACTGAGTATACACACAGTATGTACAAATGAACTTTTCTGAAAAGTTTGCTTTGGTAAGAAGTTGCGAACTCCCGAAACGAACTCCAAACAAATTTGATTTGGCCTGATTTAGTTTGAAATTATGTCACACCAGTTCACTGTTCAATTTGAAGTACACAAGTCAACATTTGAAGTGGATCAAAACCTTCCATCAAAGTTGTCCTAAAACCTAAAACCAAAATGCGTTCTTGTCTTAGGACAACTTTGACGAACATTTTAGATCCACTTCAAATGCTGACTACTGTATATGTATATATATAATATGAAAATTAACTTTTAGCATTTTTAAAAAAGTAAATATGACATATGATCCAGACATATTTTCCTTATAGAATAAAACAAAATTGCATTCAGATAATTAATTATCATGAGAATAATGTGAAAAAAAAAATCTTGTTAGTCCTGAAATAGGCTTATGGAAAAAAGACATACACACTCACACTCACAGACACTCACACACACACTCACACACTCTCACACACACAGACACATAGACATAGACACAGACACACTCACACACACACACAGACACCGACACTGACACACTCACACACACCGACACACACAGACACACACACACACCACACACACACACACACACACATATATATATATGTATATGGAGTGTCTTTATTCCTGCTGTTATCCTGGTTTTAAATTCTAAATTTAGTTTGTTTAATATATATAATGCTAAAATATGACATGTTACTTGCAGAATAAAACAAAATTTCATTGCATTAAGGGGATTAATTATCATGAAAATGTGTTATGTTTTAAAAGAAATATCTTCTGCTCATGCATTTATTTGATTAAAAAAATACAATAAAATAGTGAAATATTATTACAATTTAAAACAGGTGTTTTCTATGTGAATATCTGTTAAACTGTAATTTATTCCTGTGATGCGCAGCTGTATTTTCAGCATCATTACTCCAGTCTTCAGTGTCACATGATCTTCAGAAATCATAATAATATGCTGATTTGCTGCTCAAGAAACATTTCTGATTATTATCAATGTTGAAAACAGTTGTGCTGCTTATTTTAATAAAACGTTTAAAAGAACAGCATTTATTTAAAACAGAAATCTTATATCAAAATCTTGTA